AGTAAGTATATAGTAGTTTGGGAGGCCAAGGTAGGAGGATCACTTGAGGCCAGGAGTTTAAGACTAGCTTGAGCATAAGAGAGACCCTGTGTCTACAAAAAATAGAAAAATGAACTGGGTGTGGTGGTGTTGCCTGTAGTCCCAGCTACTTGGGAGGCTGAGGCAGGAGGTTCGCTTGAGCCCAGCATTTTGAGGTTGCAGTGAGCTATGATCATGCCATTGCATTCTACCTGGGGCAACGGAGCGAGACTCTGTCTTAAAAAAAAAAAAAGGACATGACAAATCCACAGGTACATTTAACCTGGGACCAGTTAGTTTACTTGAAAGGGAAAGGTTATTTATGCAAAGCTTAAGACTTACCTACAGAAATAGAAATGTCTGGATGGGTCAATGATGGTGGTGATAAGGTGGAGAGAGTTTTCAGTGGATAAACTAGACATGTAAATCCCCAGGCGCAGAGCACCTGGGGACAACCATGAACAGTGAAGGTCATGGAGCTGCTGAAACAGAAGAAAAGGGGGAGAGTTTATGTTTTATTAGTTGTTTTACATAACTATTAATGTGACAAAAATAGTTTTCTGGCTTCTTTGTTTTCTCAGATGAATAATTATTTGCCAGTTTTTAAGTCAATGTAAACTATTTTGTAATTTTCTTCCTCTACTTTAAGGTAAACACAAGAGGAAAGCAGAGACTCGATGTTTTTAAGAGCTGGGATCTCGCTGTGTTGCCCGGGCTGGTCTTGAACTCCTGGGCTCAAGCGATCCTCTCACCTCAGCCTCCCAAGTAACTGGTACTATAGGTGCATGCTACCATGCCTAGCACTGTTTTTTTTTTGTTTTTTTTCTTTGAGACAGAGTCTCACTCTGTTGCCCAGGCTAGAGTGCCGTGGAGTCAGCCTAGCTCACAGCAACCTCAAACTCCTGGGCTCAAGTGATCCTCCTGCCTCAGCCTCCCAAGTAGCTGGGACTACAGGCACATGCCACCATGCCCGGCTAATTTTTCTATATATTTTTAGTTGTCCAGCTAATGTATTTCTATTTTTTTTAGTAGAGTGGGGGTCTTGCTCTTGCTCAGGTTGGTCTCTAACTCCTGAGCTTAAATGATCCTCCGGCCTCCGCCTCCCAGAGTGCTAGGATTACAGACATGAGCCACCGCGCCCGGCCTGTTTATTTCTTATTGAAACAATGGGATTGAGGGTCTTTGTCTCATTTAACTGATCAATGTTGATGAGAAGCAGGTGAACACCCTACAGTGGGCCGCAGAGCCAGAGGGTAGTGACTCCAAGCTGAGGCCAATCTGGAGCCTGAAAAGAGAGGGAATTGGAGCTCCCTCAGAGTTCCCTGGCAGCCTGCCTTCCCCTACAGGTGGCCTCCAGCTGCGCAGAACAGCCACAGGAGTGTAGATTCTGAGAAGCCACAAAGCGCGAGAAAGCAGGAGACCCACAAGCAAATTCGGTTGGTGGTGGGGAAGAGGTTCTATGCTTTCTGTGGTTGTACCTCTCCTTGCCTGGGGCTGTTTTCTGCACAGTGTTTTGATTTTTGTATTTACAGAGTTGTTGGGATCAGACTGTCGTTTCTATATATGAACAAAATATGTGAAGGTCAGATTTAGAGACTCATTAAGGTAGTATTCCAGAGAAAGGGTTTATGAATTTGACAGATTATTTTGGTCTGAATTTTAAACTGACCTCAGGTGGGAGTTTCCCGCTGGCGAAAATAAAGATGTTGAAGGAGGATGTTATGAAAATAAAGATGTTTCTACACTGTGAGGATAGCACAGAAGGGCATGTTAATCTCAACGAGTTAAATCCTTATGTTTCCTGGCCTCATCACCAGAGTCTGATCTGCTCTGGGGCTCCACTTCACCAGTCAGTTTCTGCTTTCAAGCTTGGGAATATGTGTTATCTTCTGAATTCAGGTTTTCCTTGTGAAATGTCGTAAAGCATGATGCTTATCTGAGCTAGTTCAAATGTTTGCTTTTCTTCCCTTTTGATTCCTTTATAGAATATTGCTGCCATATAACTCCAGTTTTCCCATACATTTAATGTTTTAATTTTCTTGTTGGCGATTTTTAATTTTCTCAGCTGAAAATGAGTAGTTTGAGAGATTATGGTATGAGAAAGCCTTGCCATGCCTTCCATTAGCCTCATCCCAAATTCCTGATCCCTGAAAACATCATGCCCTCCCTTCTGTTCCAGTCTTGTCTGGGCTCCCCTTCTGGTCTAAGGAAAGGCGATAGCTCCTTTGCATACTGAACCTGGAATTCCCAGCGCACCCTTGTCAAGAAGGAAGAAATAGCCCATTGAGTAAAGGAAGTATCTGCTTTGGTAAGGCCCAAGGAAGTTCTGCTGAAATGCAAATATCCCCGTGCCTTCTCACCTCCCTCCGGCGGGCCAAATCCACTGGCTGGGCAGAAGAAGCCTTGGGTGCCAGGGCTGTGGCCAAGAATCTCTCCTTCCCACTCCATTCTGCAGTGAGTCTCACTCTTATCGCTTCTCCTGTCATTTAAGGCGAAAGGGGCGGGGCCTGACGTGCTATCCAATCAGGGGCGCTGGGGCGGGGCCCTGAGCACTGTCCAATCAGTCGCGCAACCGAGGCCCTAGCTGCAGACGTTCAATCTTCTCGCGGGATTTTCATTTCTCGCGTACGCAGTTCTCGGTTTGGCTTTGCTGCTCCCCCAGAGGCCGCAAGTGTCTCCGCTGCAACCTGTGTGGCGCTGTTCCCTGCACTGGCCGCGGGATCCGTAGGAAGGACGCTGACACCCCGGGCGCCGGGAAATGGTGAGTGTGCGGGGCCGGGCGTCCCGATCCGGGGAGGAGGGGCTGGTCGGAACCGCTGGACCCGGGCTGTGGCCGCGGGACTCGGGCTTCCCTGCGGTCAGCTGCGGAGTCTGCGGACCCGAGTCGCCACTGGCGCAGCTCGGCCCTCGGTTCCCCGCCCCCCCGCCCCCGGCCCGCAGGGTGGGGCTGGGCCGTCAGCTGGGCCCCCGGGCGTCCTGTCTCATCCCTGCGCGCGGCGACCTCGGCCCTGGTCCCGAAGGCCTCACTGTGCAGCTTGGCGCCCGCAGCCCCTCGCCTTTCCCAGATTGTGCGGTGGCGACGGGAGGGTCATCAGGAGAAAGTCGCGACTCGGTCTCTGGGGTTCCTTTGTGGTGGAAGATGTGATCAGTAGGGTTCCCCAGTACCTTCTTTTCCTCCGGGAGACCCCCGTTCCCCTGAGTTTTCCAAATGTACAGGAAGCAGGGTCTTAAATCCACGACCCTGTCCCCCATCCTGGCTCTCTCTAGGGCTGACAGGAAATCCCGAAATTTCTGATTCCCTCCTGGCATTCCCAAACGTCAACCTCTCGCCTCTAATTCGCGACATTATCAAGTTTATCTCCTTCGTTCTACATTCCAAACAGACATCATATTTTAATTGTTGATCGTTTTTCCACAAAGCTACGGATGACTCTTCATATAAAGACTTGTTTTCTCTTTGTGGCCTTTTCACTTGAGAGGAAAGCAGAGAATAGCCGCCAGACACTCCGCTGTAAAAAAAACCTTTGTGTCTCTCGCCTCCTTTTATCTTTCCTAGGCACAGATACATTATCAGAAGGTCTTTGAGTTGAGGTTCACCTTTGGAAACTTTACAGGGTGATGTGTCTTCAGTGGACTCTCCTATCTTTTTCTCTTTCCTGGGTTTCAGAACTGCTGGGGGCTTACCCAGGGTGCTGGTAGCTTCTAGATCTCTTTGCAAGTCTAGTGAGTATCAGTCCCTGGTTCACTCCTCCCAGAGGACAGCCTGAAGTGGTGGGGAGGAACCTGTCAGGGTTTGCAGCCGTGTGCCATGGGGCTTGGGGAAATCTCCTCGTTACCCTTCATCTAAATAGCCACCCCTGGGAACACTCAGCTTCCCCCCCCCCCAGCTCTAGTTTCCATTCTTTGGGAACACTTTGGTGGTCAATTGTGTTACTATTATTGAGGGATGAGAAAAGAAAAGAACTTTTATTAGAGGAGTGAAAGTCCTATTAAATGATCTGGCCCAGAGAGACATTAAAATGAGACAGCAATCTTGTTCTACTCCCCCACCCCCCTTGAGTTACATAGTCATCTCTTCACATGGCTTGCTATTGTCACAACCCACACCCTATAGCTTAACAGTCCAATGTTATTTCTGTGAACTAATGATAATTCCTAACAACTTTGTATGGGCCCACTCCCTATCCCCCTTTTTGGGGCACTTTGGGTCATATTTTGTGCTTCAGCCTCTATCTTTTAGGTCAACAGGAGAAAAAACCAGAAATGATTCCTCCTGTCCTTTGGATTTTCTCAGCCTTGTGAAGGGAGAAAAACTATGCCAAAGGACGAGAAAAACCTACCCCTTTGAGGCAGTGCAGGACCTGAAAAACGAAACGCACTTTGGGTACACAGGGGGGCATTTTAAGTACATTTCGACAAGAAACTATGGTAGAGAAATTGCTAAATTACAAAGATTCACCAAAACATCAGTTTCTCTCTTTTTTTTTTTTTACAAGGTGGAGAATTTGATAACTGTTCTGTTTCCTGCTATCTGGACTGGGTAGATTAATACTAAATTTCATGACACAGGAATTAGCAACACCTAGAAGTACTTTACTATGACTATTTGTTTACTAAGTGATTTATTAGCATGGAAATAATAATTAAATGACATCTTTGTCCTCCGAAAGGGATATTCATATTTTTCCTGTTGAGCTATAAAATATAAATGCCTTACAGTTACCTTGCCTCCTACAAATATAAACACTGAGTTTGAATGATTTTGCTGTATTCATCAAACATGAGTATTTTTTTTAAATATCCATGTAAGGTATGAAAGGGGAAGTGAGTCCCCTTGACTGGGGAGCAGAGAGGCCTGGGGCCAGTGACTCCAAGCTAAGGCCAATCTTGTTCCTGCAAAGGGAGGTCATCGCAGGCCCAGTTGGTTCTTCCCTGGGAGTCTCCCTGCTGGTGTCTCAGCTGCTCACAGTGACCTTGGGAGGAGTCCTTTGTACTGAGAAGCTCAGAGCTCTGGGAAGCTGGGGACCCAAGGCAGATGGGGTGGAGCGATGCTCTGTCTGAGGTTATATGAGTTTCTTGTTGTGGGGCTATTGCTAGACATTCTCAAGTAAAATAAATCTGGATTTAGGTAAGAAGTGACTATTCTAAAGGAGTACTGCAAAAGGGGGAAAGCATCAAGTGTAAGATCTGCAAGCATCTCAAAGTTTAGGGAGAACAGTGCTTTTCTTTTAAAGGGAAGAACAAACACGATTAGAGAGAAAGTGAGAGGCAGAGGGCAGGATGGAAGGTACAAAATCTGATCCTAGATAAGAGATTATTTTACCCTGAGATTCAGCCTGTTCTTCAGAGGGGTCATGAAGGAGGGGTTCCCTGCTGGCTCAGGCTGAGGGTGGGTCAGAGTTCAGGAGCCTGGAGGAAGGAGAGAAGCTTAAGCCAAGTATTCATCCAGAAGAGCAGTTTTGCCTCTTTTGAATATTCAGTAAGTTAATGTTACCATTGCTATACTATCAATAGTAAATGCAGAAAAGGCTTTTTTTTTTTTTTTTGGTGGTTTCTTTGCCTGTCTGTTGCACACGTGCTGCTAAGGCTGTGGGTCACCGCATAGTCATTTATTCCACTGCTTGATTTGAGTCGTTTCAAGTTTATTTTTTGATCTTGCTGACAATGTGATTTCTTTTTGTTGATGTGTGTTGCTCGCTCTGGTTGCCCGGGCTAGAGTGCAGTGACATGATCATGGCCCACTACAGCCTCAAACTCCTGGGCTCATGCAATCCTCCTGCCTCAGCCTCCCAAATAGCTGGGACTACAGGCACCGGCAACCATGCCCAGCTAATTTTTACCTGTGTTGTATATTTTTTTTTTCTTTTTTTTTTGAGACAGTGTCTCTGTTGCCCTGGCTAGAGTGCAGTGTCATCATCATAGCTAAGTACAACCTCAAATTCCTGGGCTCAAGCGATCCTCCTGCTTCAACCTCCCTAGTAGCTGGGACCACAGGCGTGCGCCACCACACCTGTCTAATTTGCTATTTTTTGTAGAGACGGGGTTTCACTATGTTGCTCAGGCTGTTCTCAAACTCCTGGCCTCAGGTGATTCTCCTGCTCTGCCTCCCTAAGTGCTAGGATTACAGGCGTGAGCCACTGTGCCTGGCCTATTTTTCTAATTTGATTCTGAGAAATCTCTCTCTGGAGACTGGCTATGAACTCTGCCCCTGCCCTGGTGGGCCTCTAAGAGTTTGGTTGTGTATGGTTACAATGTTCCTTTCAAAAGATACTTCTTTATCCTTGCACAGGGCCTAATGCCTAAATGTCAGACCCATGGCCAGGTGTCCCTCTCACAGGACCCTTGTCTGTACCGGCAGGTGCCCCGAAGCTCTTACGTGACTGTTGTCCAGTTTATTCCAGCCAAGACAGCCACCACCACAATGTTCCTACCAAGAGAGTTCTGACCACGGTAGAAGTTAAGTTTGGGTGTATCTGTCAGGTGACAGAGAAGGCAACTCAACAAAACATGTGAAATACACAAACCAAGTAAGAGATCCCAGAGAAGAGAGCAGCGTGCCTTGTAGACCAACAGGAAGGGGAGCCGTCCATGGCACACATGCCCCAAGGAAGAGGGAGTGACCGTGGGCCCAAGCATTTCTTGAGGTCCAGGCATTACCTAAGCTGGTTTCCCTCGGGCAATTCCAATTGGCATGTTCAGGGCAAGCAGGCAGGAGTTGCATGGAGTCACGCAGGGACTACGAAGTGGTCACCGCCGCATATCTGTGCATGTGAGTAGTGGGGGTCAGTAAGGCAAGTCAAGTAGGTGGTATCTAGCTGTCCCACAGGGAGGTGGTGACAAGACGGTTGTGTAAGGCAGGTGTCTGGTTTGACCCCATTGAAGAACTGGGAAGAAGTAGAGAAACCTGGAAGCTCTGTCAGGGGTGACTGAGCCCTGCTTCTAGTATGAGAGAGTTAAATGTATATTCAGAATGGGTGTCCAAGGAACATAAAATTATAAGAATTCAGGACAATAGGGAGGTCTACAATTAATTGATTATTGTATATTGCATATATAAAATATACCCTAATCTTCCCCTGCCTTTTTGTCTTGGAGTTGGCCATAAAGAAATTCTCTGACCTGTCTTGTCTGATTGCAGCTCATAAGACCCCCATTTCAGAATGACCCCCTGCCCCATACCTGAGAGGAAAGAACGTTGTGCACAGAGGCCAAGGGTGATCTGAACAAACAGGCCTTGTTGGGTTTTTCCACACAGTCTGTTAGTATTAGATCATGCCCTTTTTGTCCAATCGTATTTCCACACGGATTGCCACGCTTTAATCATGCCTGTCCAATGACGTCTCCATAAAAGGCCCAAGAGGATGAGGTACAGAGTGCTTCCGGACAGCAGAATTTGCGGAGCTCACAGGAAGGTGACCAAGAACCCAGCCACGTGCCAGGAGGATGGTGCACCCCAACTCCACGGGAAGAGAAGCTCCTGCGCTTGGGACCCCTCTAGACCGCCCCCTGTGTATCTCTTCATCTGGCTGTTTGTTTGTATCTTTTAGAAATCCTTTATAATAAACCAGTAAATGTAAGTAAATGTTTCCCTGACTTTTGTGAGCCGCTTTAGCAAATTAAACAAGCCCAAAGGTGGGGGGCGGTTTTAGGAACCCCAACTTGAAATGGATCGGTCAGAAGTTCCAAGGGCCCAGGCTTGCCACTGTTGGCCAACGTGGGGGACAGTCTTGTGGGATCTGCTGCTATCTCCAAGTAGACAGC